TGGTCCTGCTAGAGAATCCGCCTGGGCCTGTGGCAGTGGAGGGAGGAGCGGGGTGACCAAGACCCAGATACACTGGGTGATGGCCCTGCCCATCTAGATGGGTGTGAGCTCGGCCCTTTGCCAATGGTTCTGGGGATCACTGCCCCTGTCACCATAGTCAAGACAGCAACACGAGAGCCAGCACACAGCTTGGGAGCCGGTACTGGCCCGGTGCGACATCGCGTCTGTGCTGTACATCAGGGCTCCCCCACACCCCGCCGCATTGGTTGTTAAATATTGCAACGTTTGTTTTCTCTGGCCTCAATGGTGTAGCCCAGAATTCATTCTAATTCTGACATCTCCAGAGTGAGTGCAGACCCCAGAGGTCACGGCACTGCATCACACAAGGTCACAGGTGTGGTGCCCACCACACTGACCAAGCAGCTCCGAAGGCCAAATTTGCCTCATTGCTCCTCAGAGCGGGTAAGGGGTAGGGAGTCTGCAGAGCCCGGGACAGCACAGTGAGTGCTGTCACCAGGACGTGGAGGGGGAAGAGCCGGATGTCCCTCTGCTGGACACACACGGCACAGGCAGGGAGGGCCGTGACACAGAGCATCCTTGCCTCTCCGGGTGCCAGGAAGCCCTCCAAGGCCACTGTGCAGGAATCAGTGACGACTGACCTCAAGTTCCAGCCCCGGTGCCCTGCTGGAGCTCATGAGTGCTAAACCTCTGGTTCCCTGCTGGCTCTTCTGGCAGCAGTCCCCATCTCCAGGCTGTCCAGGGATGCCAGCAGATTACCTCAGATGCCATTGCAGCCAGCAGGGGCCTCTCAGGGGTCATCAGAGGCACTCTCACCACACAAGGAATGCCAGGGACTTAGGGGCTCCGGGCCAGGAGTCAGGCACTGAGATCAAACACGTTTCTTCATCGAGGTCGCAGCCCTCACTCCCAGTGGTCAGCTAAGACGTTACTACATGTGTATCCAGAGCTCGTTACCTATAGGAAACCAGGCTGGGAGCTGGTGGACTGCTCATTCATTTACAGGATCAATGCCAGTGTCATCCCTACTCAGATCATTGACGTGGATCTGTTTTGCCTTTGAGGAAAACATGAGATATAGCTTACACTTTACGCCCTTGAAAAACCTCAGCAGCCGGACAAAGCTGTATGTCTTAGCCCTGGGCACACGGAAGAGGCAGAGGCTCTGAGGCTCAGAGAGCTGAGCAGGCAGCCGGGTGGTCCAGGAAGACCCTGAGAGGAGGTGGCCTTGGGTGGGGGGCCTAATGGCATTTGCAGCATTGACAGAGGAGAGGTTCATGCTGTGTTCTGACAGGAAGGAGAAGGAACCCAAAGTCTCCCTCTGTTGAGTCTCAAAGCCACTGCATCTGAGGTTTTTCTCTTCTTTTTGGTGGTAAATTGGACTCCCTGCCTTGTTTGGCTGAAGACACTGGGGCTCTCACTACTGAAAGGGAGAAAAGAAGCCTTGAGTTCAGTGGCCTCGCCAAGCTCCGGTTTCCACATCTGGGAAGCAGTGTCAGCTTCTGGCAAGGATGAGCAACTTGAAGCAGGGAAGGCTGTGAGAAACTGCGGGCACAGCTGAGCCGCTGGTGAACACCAGCCCTTACGATTACTTCTGAGGCATTTTTAGTTGGGAATGAAATGCTAGCCGAAGTGGTTAAAGTGATTTCTTTTTAAATTTCAGTGTGATTGGTATCGTATGAATTTGTGCCTTCATTATTTCATCACTCCCTAAAGAGTCATTTTGCTCTCTGAATTGTGCACTGGGAAGGGTCGTTCTGGGAGTCCCTTAGAAGTGATCACACCCCAGCTAAGGTTTACCAACTGCTCACTAAGTGCCAGGTGGAGTTGCTAAGTGCTGTGCTTGTTTTAGTTGTTTGGTTCTCACATGAGGTAGGCACTGCCTTCTGAATTTTACAGGTGGGGAAGTTGAAGTCCAAGAGGTTATATCACTCCCTCAGTGTCACAGAGCCAGGAACCAATAAAGCCAGGATTTGATCCTGGGACAGTTTGACTCTCAGCTCATGCAGCTCGAGCAGGGGCAGAGCTTTCTTCTCTCAGCCTCCGGAGCTTGCCTCAGCTCCCCGCACATGTCGCCAGGGCTGAGCATGTGTGACACCTAGCTGCCAGTGTGCTATCTGGCTCTAGTACTTCTCCAGAGCCAGTTAAGTGGCAAGAAGGGGTCTGTGGACGCAGCAGCCGCAGCCTCACCAGTGATGGGTGGAGCGGTGGACGGAAACTCACCGCCTGCTGCCTCTGGGTAGTCACAGAGCCCTGTGATCTGCAAAAGTTTTGGGGTTCTCCAGAGTACCAGCCCTGTGAGCCCACTCTGGCTGTCTGGTAGCCAGTGCTTTGGTCCCCTTTACTGCCACCTTCCTCATGTTTTACTCCCTACTCCCTAGACAGGGCCTCCTGTTCCTCCCAAACCACTGCCACTCAGTCTTTGCCACCGGGCTTCTAAACACTGTAGTTTGTATCACCCAGAAAGATATACTGAAGTCCTAACCTACAGTACCTCATGATATGATTTTGTTGTTGTTTTGAGACAGGATCTTACTTCCTACTTCAACCTTGCCTTCAACTTACTTATGTAGCCAAGACTGGCCTTCAACTCAGAGATCCTCCTGCCTCGGTATTGTGAGCACAGGGCTCACAATATGATCTTTCAGTGTAGGATCAGCTGGGTGCTGTGAGACATGCCTGTAACCCCAGCACTCTAGAGGCTGAGGCTGGAGGATTACTAGACTGGGCTATAGAGGGAGCTCAAGGCAACCTGAACTACATAGCATAACCTTGTCTTAGAAAAAAGTGTCCCTGCAGCTGTGCTCAGCCGAGGCAGGAGGAGGTCATCAGGGTGGACTGAGGTTCAAAGTGACTGCTGTTCTCCTAGGAAGGGAGAAATGCAGGATACATGTGACCATGGAGGTGGAGTCTATGTGGACAGAGGCAGCTGGAAGCCAGGAACATGAAGTGTGGACAGTGACACCAAGAGGAAGGGAGGGTACTGCCCCAAGTCCCAGGGAGGGCGAGATTTCCCCTTCGAGTTCCAGAGCTGTGAGAAGGGAGTTTCTAGCTTGGGGTCCTCTGCCAAGCAGCTCAAGGGAAGGGCTACTCCTCTCTTCCAGGGCTTGATTCATCCTGAGCTTGCTGCTTCCAGGAGTCTCCTGTGCTCCCCTGAGACAAGCGTGCACACCCATCCATTCTAGAGCTGCCTTGCAGACCCTGTGCCCCCACTGCTGTCCCCGCCTCCCTTTGGTTTTGCCAGCCTGGAGTGGACCTTTGAGACTTCAGGGTGCGGCTGGAGAGGCATGAGCAGCTCCTGGAGCTTCTTGGGGAACTCTAGATTTTCTGGCTGTGGCAGGAGGGATTCGAAGGGAACAGGTCCGACTGTGTCCCACCTCCATCAAGTGGGGTGAAGGGGAAGCTTCACAGAACCCGCAGGAGGGAGCTAGGTCTGCTCAGTGAGCTTTGTGATCTCATAGCCACTAAACTATGGGAATTGCCTGGAGATCTGGGAAATCTCCCTAGAAATGTCCAGGGGCTATATAAATCCCACCCTCAACAAGGGCTTTAAGGACCCATCCTGAAGGGAGTGGTGCTCTGGAAACCTGGACAGGCAGTGAAGTCGGAAGTGGAAAGCTCCGAGAAGGAAGTGATTTTGCCGCCTTAACGTAGGCAGTGATCTCTCAAGTACAATAGCAGCACAGTCCACTGTGGAACACAGATACGTTGAACTTTATCAAAATTTAAAACTTCTGCTCTTTGAATGACATCATCTAAGAGAAAGGAAAGCGAGCTACAGGCAGAGACAAAGTTTTTGCAGCACGTATATCTGGGAAAGGGTTTAACCGCCGTGACTCCTCCATCCAATCTCCATGAACACAGGAGACGGCCCAGGGCCTCGTGCTCTCCGGCTCCCACAAAACGTGGTGATGCATATATTTAGACTGAAATGTTACTGTGTATTTAAAATTCAGATTTATTCTACCTCCAGAAAGTCTGCAGATGGAAAAATTCAAGTATGTTATGATTTCCTTTTGTCACATTAACTCAGTTTTTCGTTAAGAACATTTTGTAATTTTGCAATTCCCTGAACGTACGTAGACTGTCAAGAACTAGGAGGGCGTGAAGACCGCAGGCTTCTCTTGTGCAGATGCAGAAACCAAGGCCCACCCTTGTGTGACCCACTTGGGGAGTGAGGAGCAGGGTCCGGCCTGGAACTCAGGTGCCCAGTTTCTCCTTCCTGTCACCTGGCAAGCGCCCTGCAAATCCTCCGGGGGTCATCAGAACCTGTGTGAGGTGGGCTGGCGACTGGACAGAAGGCAGTCCTGTGGGTAGGGCACACTGTCTCTGCCCAAACTGCCCCAAAGAGGTCTTCAGTGCTGGGAACCAGCTCCCCATGCCTAGGAATCTGAGTGGCAGTGAGAGCGAGCTTCGAGGGGCGCATGCTGTACCCGAGGCCATGCTCACAGTGGACACGGACAAAGCAGGTCAAAACTACCATTGCACATTGCCAGAGCTTGGATTTAACCTCAGCTTTTGCTCTAACTTACTGGGTAGTCTTGGAGAGTCTCGACCTCCCTGAACTCCAACATTCTCTTCCAGAAAGTGGACCTCTTCTGCTATCCCAAACGGAGATGGTAATAGCTCTCTGGGAGGGATGTGAAATCCCACTCCACAGCCAGTGCCCACCTTGGAGTAGGCAGTAAGTGGCAGCTGGTTATCAGGATGTGTTAGTTGTCATGTGGTTGTGTAAGTTAGGACAGATCGTTTTCAGGTTTCCTGCACCACACCTCCTTCCAACCTGGACATGCCCGCCTTCTCTGCACTCTGCCTCCATGGACCCCTCAGCACTCGGGTGCAGCTCCCTCATCCTGAGAGGTGGTGGCTAAGAGGCATCAGGATGCACCGGGTGGCTCCACACCTCTCACCTGCCCTCTGACTCTTGCCAGCCTCTCCCCATCCCCATCACACCTCCTTCTCTCTCCCATCTTCGCATTTAGGTTCTGAAAAGCAGAAGGACGGACAGACCCAGATGGCTTCCCCTGACAGGAGGGAGTGCTCCCGGCCCAGGAGTGCTGGCCAGGATCCAAGGCAGAGCAGGGGCTGCCCGGCCCAGGAGCAGGCAGCAGGCCAGCCGGCCGTGCTGGAGAAGGCACAGGAGTTCTTCCAGACCTGTGACCCAGAGGGCAAGGGCTTCATTGCCAGGACCGACATGCAGGTATGCAGGGTCTGGGCCTCCACCTGGAGCCTGATGACAGGGACCCCATGGGTGACATTCTTCACAGCAAGGACCACATCCATCCTGCCCGAGGAAGCCACCATCCCAGGGCTGAATCTCCTGGGTGCCTTCCCTGTCTGCCTTTACCTGCTGCCCATCTTGGATTGTTTTGCCTCCCTGACTCAGTGGCACCCTAGGGCTGTGGGGAATGGTGGTGGGGAGAAGAGGCTCTGAAACCACCAGATGACAGGCAGCGACCTGCTGCTTCCCAGTGACACCGGCCCTGATGACGTCCCTTCCACCATGCAGAGGAGGACAGTGTCAGGTGCCTGTGGAGCAGGGTGTTTCTGGAGGCCACTCACCTGGTGTGGCCCCTGAAGCAGGGCCTTCTGAGCACTCATCTAAGCGCTGTCCCTCTGGCCAGGTCTGCAGGAGGAGACACTGAGGAAGAGCAGTCCCCTTACAGCCCACTCAGCTCTCGGGAAAGCGCTATGGCCCGTGGTCCCTGGGCAGATCCCCTGGTACCACGCACAACTGCTCTGTGTGCAGCCCCCATCCCCATGCACAGCATTTGGCCCCTGCACACCTGCTTCCTGGGCCTCAGCCCCAGCAGCCTCGGGGGGCCGGTTGGGGAGCTGGCACTGTCCTGTGAGGCTGTGGGTATGTGGGAAGGCAAGTGCAGGGGCCAAAGGAGCTACAGAGAAGCAGAGGGAGGAGGAATCCTGGAGGCCTTGCAGTTGTTTTAAGAAAGAGTGAGAGCTATGCTCCTCCCCAGGGCTCTTTTCCTTCTTTCATTTTCTTAAAAAAATTTTTATGCATATAGCAAGCTTGACTATGCAGCCATCGTAGAGGTGGTGAGGGTCTGAGCCCATCACCAAACCCACTACCAGGGAGGAACCCAGTGCCACACATTCTGGGCAAGACCCTCTTGAGCGGTACCCCATCCTAGTCTTGGGGATTTTAAAAGTCAGGGTCCCTGGTAGTGCCCTGGAAGAGCGGAAGTGGGTGGCCCTGTGCTGGACTTCCATGGGGGTGCTGGTGGTGACGGTCTGCAGCCCCTGCTGGGTCCTGTGCTGTGGTGACCCATCCGGGAGTGGGCAGGAGCTCCCCTTGGACTGGGCCTGGTGCCGTACCCAGAGAAGCAGAGTTGTGGGCCGAGGACCCGGAGTGACAGTCAGTCCTGCTGCAGAGGCAAGAAGGACACAGGCAAGAGGGCCGGGCTGCTGGGGCCACAGACACCCAGGAGCTGGCCAAAGGTGGGTGGGCTGCCCGTAGTGGGCAGGGCAGTGAGTAAAGTGACTTCGGGCCTGGTCTCAGTGCCCCGAGGTAGGGGACATTTACCGCCTAGAGCATCGGCTGGCACAGAAAATTCAGATGAGATAAGGCTTGTGACAGAGACTGCAGTCTGCGGAGCCTGGTGCCCTGTCCGCCCCACCTTGGGAGCTGCAGACATTGTACCAAGAAAGTGAGGAGGAGCTGAGGGTGGAGGAGAAATGACAGGTATGGGTGGGGGGCTGGCATGTCAGGGGCTCCTCAGCCCTGAACAGCAAGAGACAGACGAGAGCTTCCTCCCATCTCTCTCCCTTCCCCTGCCCGCTCCTGGATGTGTTCAGAGGCTATGAGTGTAGCAGAGGTCATTCCCGGTGGCTGGCGAGGGGGACCTTGGTGGTGCTAAGGGTCAGCGTGGACAGGTGACAGAGGTGCGCTCGCCAGAGGACAATCACTTGGGAGAGTTCGACCACTCCTGCCCTGCTCCGGTCCCACTGCTGCTGCAGGCAAATCTCAGCCTCACTGCACAGCAGGATAAATAATCCTTTCCCTACCCTACCTATCTCAGTTAAAAATGAAGACAGCACCAGGGGCCCAGGGGACCGGACCAGAATAAATTGATTTTGCATGGCTCTGCAAGCCCTGAGAAGAAAGATAAATAAGAGACAATTATGGTTATTAAAGCTAAAAGACTTTTCAAGTAGGGCCAACAGAAAAAGGTGAAAGAATCTGGTGTAGAGCAGCCTGCAGAAAAAGCAGGGCACAGACTGCAGGCCAGGGAGAGAATGAGGTTTACTCGGAAGACACAGCTCAGCATTCCCCATGTTGAGGAGCAGCAGAAAGAGGAAATGGGCTGTGAAGTAAATGGAGGGTTGCGATTGGACAGCAGGCGGGCTTTATGACCAGAGACGCTGTTAGATTCAGGAACATGCCTATGGTGAGACCTGCAGTTGCTTTCCCTGGTCCATACCAGCAAGAGAGAAGGTGCCCACGTGTGGGTGGTTTGGGTGAGAGGCGGGCTGAGGGTCCCACTGCCCCCAGAACTTCCCCCCAGCTCATTCCCAGCTCCAGTACAACACGAGGTAGCACATTTCCCATCTGATCCAGCAGTCCTGAGTTGAGGGTGAGGAGAGAGGAAGGCTCATCCCAAGGAGGGACTGGAATCCAGCTGTGACAGGAGCTGGGGTTAATCCTGCCTCCGTGGTAATGCCCTTGTTTCCAGCGGAGCCAGTCAGCTTCTGGTGTGCAAAACTGACCCCATGTGCCCATGTTTTTCCTGTGGCTTTTGAGACAGCTGGTTTATGGCCTCTGACCAAGGTCAGTGTTCCCTGTCTGCAGCCTTGGCAGAGCAGCTTTGTGCTGTTCCTCAGGCAGGAAGAGGGACAGTGGCCCATCATGAGTCCCTGGGGAGCCCTCCTCTGAGCACTAGGGCTGGGTGGAAGGGCCCTGTGGCAGGGTGCACATTAGCCTTGGCCTGTGTCAGGCAGGAGGTCAGAGCATGGTGGCTGCTTGGGTTCCTGCCCTTCCCTCTCCATGAAGGCCCCACTTAATGGTGACCTTGTGCACCACCTGGCCCAGCTCCCTTAAAGCCAGACATCCTTGGGGGGCTGATACCTAAGGCCACTGGCAGTTAACACTGAAGGAATTGGCTGCCAGCTGGGACAGAGTGGTTTCCAGATGGGCAAGGGGACCTACACATACAGTGCTGACACCCGGAGCCCCCACAGGGAAGGTGTCGGGAACCTGCCAGGTGGAGGGGAGAGCCCTTGCAGGCTGGGACTGAGTATCTCTGTGCCTCAGGGGCACTCGCTCCCTACTCACTCTGCCCAACACCAGAAGGAATTGGTAATGACACACAGAGAGGCGCAGAATGGAAGTAAAATGAAAAAGTTTATTTTGTTGAGAAAGGTCAATTGCACTTAAAGGCAGTGCCAGGATGGATCACATACTGGGCTATAGGGTTTTACAGCCTTGATCTCATTCAGGTGGTTACATTTCATTCTTTCAGTTCACATTGCTGATATAAAAATCATAGTCATAAGACAGTTAAATTTCAACCCAGATATAGCAATTCTTTGTTGTTAGGGAGTTTACCTTTAAAATTTGTCTAGCTATGTATTCTAGCCCAGGGGAAGCGGGTGTTCCTGGTCTGGAAAGCAAAGTTAACAAAGGCTCTTTTCATCTTGACCTTTACAGTCACTTGGTTTACAGAACTTTGGAGCTCTGGCTCTTGATGTGCCCTGTTATCTCAGGATGAGGCCAGATACCTCATTCAGTGGTTAATGCCTCGGGTGACTATTAATTCTGAACTCAACAAAGCAAACTGCTGTTAGCGAGAGCAGAAGTCATTCTACATTGTGACATTTCATAGGTTTTTGCTATTTATAAAAGTTTTCTTTATCAAGATGCCTGACAGACCTGGGTTTGTCCTTGGGCAGGTGATTTCTGTTAGGGAATTGACCATGTTAAAGTATGCTGTGACGCCGCCTCACAGGCTACATTCTCCTGGTACATCTTGGCTCCTAAAATGACCTCATGCCCTTATCTCTGGTTTCCCCCACCCCCCAAGGCCACAGTGGTCCAGGAAAGTTGAAACCTGTGTCTGTAGGACTGGGCCCATAAAAGCAATCTGGCCTGTGATAGGATAAAAGTAACTCACTCCTCATAAATAAACAATAGCCCACCCCAAACTGATAAAAGGACCTTCCTTTCTTTGTTTTCTCTCCCTCTCTCTCTCTCTCTCTCTCTACCTTTCTCTCCCTTTCTCAATAAAGATCTCCTGCCGGACCTCTCGGTGCGTGAGTGGCCTAATTGGGAAGGGGCACCCGAAAGGACACTCGAACCTGCTTTCAATTTCACCACAGGTTCCATGTGTAAAATGGGGTAATGGTGCCTGCCTTAGTCATCAAGAGATAGACACACACACACACACACACACACACACACACACACACACACACACATTCAACACCACCAAGTGAGCTCTCTAGCTGCTTAGTCAGCACACAGTCAATGGGTTCTGCCCTAACTTGCACAGAGGAGGCTGCAGTGAAGCAGTGTGGCCTGGGTCCAGGGCCCAGCATCTTGGCAGGGTCCCTGAGCCCCAGGCTGGCCTGGGACTGAGGGACCTAACCAGTGAGTCTGTGCTGCTTTCAGAGGCTCCATGAGGAGCTGCCGCTCAGCCTGCAGGACCTGGAGGATGTGTTCGATGCCCTGGATGCTGATGGCAACGGGTTTCTGACCCCAGAGGAGTTTGCTGCTGGCTTCAGTAAGTGCTGCTCGTGTGGGGACCTTGGGTGCCAGGCACCAGGCTGCATGAGCTGCTTCCCCAGCCACTCTCAGTCTGTGGACTGCTCCCTACAAGCATTCCTGCCCTCCACCTGTTCAGGACCCTCTGCTCCCTTAGCACCCACCTACCAGAACTGCCATGCACCCCCAATATGGCAAGAAGGAGGTGCTAGGGCTCAGCAGGGATGGAGGCAGCAATGAGATTCATGCCCCAGTAGACAGAGTGGACAAGGCAGTGGGGTGACTGATGACACTTCCAGCCCGAGCCTGGCTCAGTCTTCCGAGCTGAGGGGACCAGCAGTTAGCGACTCCCTGGAAGTTCTGAATACAGCAGTGGTGCTCAGGGTAAGCAGCAGGAAACAGAGCTGAGATCCAGGAACAAGACAAAGACCCAGGAATACCGTCAGGTCAGATCACAGCAGGCAAAATCTCCCCTGTATCAGCTCCCTGCAAGAGGAGTCAGGTGTCTCGCCTGGCCTTCAGGATAAGCTGAATTTCTATACTCCGAGCCACATGCACATGGAGAGAGTGAGTCACCCCTTGAAGTGGAGGACACATGGCAGCACAGAGCACAGCACGGAGCTCCAGGCTGCTGGAGACGACAGAGGGGAGGAAGGTCTTAGTGTTTAGAGGGGAGAGCAGCGAGGACCACGGGGAGCCCTCAGACCTGTCAGCCTCCTGTCTTCCCCAGGCGTCAGCATCTCTGCAGAATGCTCATGGAAATGAAAACCACAGGCAGGCGCCCTGGGACCTGAGACACGCGCCTTCCGCTTGGCCGCACTGTCCCTTTGCTTCCCTCTGTGAACCTCTGGGTGGCTCCTGCCGGTAGGAAAGCTGAGCTCTTCCTGGGAGAGAGGCCGTCATTCAGATCTCTGTGCTCCCCTCCCCAGGCCACTTCTTCTCCAGCCAGGGTGCCCTGAGTCAGGGAGCTGCAGACCAGCAGGTGGCCCAGCTCCCGGAGGAGAAGGTGTACCAGTCCAGAGGGAATGGGGGCCAGGACGAGGAAGCCCAGTTCCAGGTGCTGATGGACAGACTTGGAGCCCAGACGGTGTTGGAGGAGTAAGTGTGATGGGCCCCTGGCAGACCCCAGCCTGAGGGGCCTGCTCAGCACCACGTCAGCAGCCTGAGCTGACCAGACCCGCTGTACGGCTCCCTGCAGTGCTGGACAGAGGGCCCTGCTTTTTGCCACCTGCCCTTGGCGGACCTGTCACATGTCAGACTCTGTCTCTGTTTCAGTTTTTCTTTTGGCAGACACTCCTCTGCTCCTTCTCTCCCCTCTTCTCCTGTCTCCTCACTCCCTGCTATGCCTTATCCTCAGGCCGCAGGTCTGGCTCTCCTCTGCGGCTGCTCCCACATCAGAGCTGTGCCCACCTCGGGCTTCGCAGAGATTCTCCCCACAGTGTCCTGCCACCATGAGCTCAGTGTTCCTCCCACGGTGCAGGCTACAGTGCACATGCATCAGCTCTCTTTGGGCTGTGCCCGCACAGGACCCTCGGGTGGAAGCCATGCACAACGTCTATGTGCAGGCCCAGCTCAGTCAGGAAGAGCAGCTGGGAAATTAGCCAGCTTCACCAGCCTGCTGCTTGGCTCCTCAGTGGCTTAGCTGAACATTTCAGATGGCTGAACTTCAAATTAAACGACATACCTTTGTTCCCCCAAAAGCAATTTGGAGTACAGAGATGCATGCCCTCAAGCCCCGACATTTAAAGTCAGGTAATAAAACACAGCAAAGTAGCAAAATGTGACATTGCCTCTGGTAGAAACAAGACGTTGGGCCTGCGCAGCACGCAGTCCTTCATCCCCTCTGCCCGTCATCTTCATCTCAGTCTGGGCCTTGACTGGGTCTGAGGTTGCATGCAGGGTAGGAATAGCCTCACACTCAGAGCTGATGTCCCTGAGCTCTGGAAGAGGCCGTGGTGGAGAGTGACGCCAAGGGAGCCACACAATATGTGAGCCAGGCTGTGCCTCTGTCAGCTAACGGTCCAGTAGAAAAGTGCATCAGGTGAGAAGGAGCCAGGCCTGGAGAGAGCAGCCGCTGTGCAGCTCTAGAAGGAGCTGTGCAGGCAGCACAGGGACACAGGTGGCATTGGAGGACACTCATTGGTCAGACACCTGACTCGTGCCCAGTAGGACAAATGGCAGACACTGACTGGGCATAGGAGCAGAGAGGGCAGTGCAGTGGGTGAGCCAGGCCACTGCCATGAAAGAGAAGGCCTCCCACCTCAGCCTCTGTCCAGCAGGAATTTTGAGCCAGAACTCACCCACTGCTGCTCCGAGGACTGTGTCATAGGCCTGTGCAGAACTGACCGGCATGTGCTATCCATGAAATGAAGGCTGTGGGAAGTCTTGGGAGGAGTCTCTAAGAGCTGATTGCAGAAGGTGGTGGCCAGATTTCCCTCTCGCTGAAGTGGCCTCATGCTGTACCACGAGGGAGCCAGCCTTGGCCAGGGGACCCCAGATAAGGAAAGAAGCCTCCTGCTACACAAGAGTGAAGAGCTCAGAGGTGCCAGAGACTGCTCATAGGAATGGTTCGTGTGCTGCTGTGGAAGAAGAGAGATGGAACAACTGACTGACTCCTTGGTGTCCTTTGTAGCCTGTACTCTGACACCCTTCTGAGACCCTAGAGTGTCCAAAAGTTGTAGACTGAACGTCTGAACTCCCACCTTTTCTTGGCAGCCTGATTGACTGAGTGATTTGTCAGGTTAGTGGGCTTCGGCTTATTTTTCATCAAAAGTTGAAAAATTTGGCTCTTGTCCAGAAATCTGGGATGCAGTGATGTGGCCAGATATGGCAGAGATGGACAGAGACCCTACCTAGCAAGGTGGACCTTCAGTTCATGATGCATGGACATCCCAGGGGAGTGTCTGGTGCACTGGGGCTGCTGTAATGAACCCCATTGATGGGGCACCTTCCACATGGCAGAAGTTGGCTTCCCACGGTTCTGGAGGCTGGGAAGTCTGCAGCTTTGCTGTCTGCTGAGGCCATGCTTCCTGATTCACAAACGCTATCTTCTCCCTGTCTGTTCTTAGGGTGGAAAAGGTGAACTTGGGCCTCTTGTACAAGGGCACTAAACCTCTGCTCACCTCCCCGAGGCCCACCTCTTCACACTCATCTCATGGGCCAGGCTTTCCATGTACGAATTGCCGTGGGGTATAAGCATTCAGACCACAGGAGGGAGGTCATTAGGTCTCTCTGAGGCCTTTTAATCTCCGAGGCCTGTGTGTCACTTTCATGGCACTGCCCACAACACGGTTTGTTGAGGGAAATGGACCTCGCTCTGGGAAGCAGAGGCTGCCTTCTTCCCCCTCTTGTGTCCTGGATTCTGGGTTCATTCAGGGTAGTGCTGGAATTACAGATGATAACCAGCACTTGTTGGGTGGATGTGTGGTCAGATGGATGGATGCACAGATGGATGGACAGATGGGCTCAGTGAGCAGGTGGATGTTAGGTAGGATGGCAACAAGAAAGGACAGAAGTGAAGGAGCGAGGGCCAGAGGGAGGAGGGAGAAGGGAGCGTTAGATGATCAGTTACTAGCCACAGGTGGCTTCATCTCAGAGGGCTTCATCTCTGTGGAGTGCAAAGAGTAATTCCTGTGCACAGCACGAGTAACACCCCTATCAGTATCACTTCCAGGCAAAGTTTCTGAAAGGCAGCACTTGTTACATAAGCACGAAGGATTTTACTCCTCATCGGGAGGGGTCCAGCTACTCTTGAATCACATCTGCCTGAGAATCAGAGGGGACAAACCAGGTTTATGCGTGGCTTTTGTTGGTCACAGGAGTAGATTTCTGTGCTGGGGAAGGGAGAGCCGATCCCAGACTGTGGCTGCAGATCTGGGCCTTGGACTCCGCTGCTCTGCTGGGGCTGCTTCCCAGCCTGACACTCCGTGTCCCCTCCGCCTGCCTCTGAGTCCTCCATCTTCTGCTTGTCTTTCTCTCAGTCTTACTCCTCCCTTCCTCCCTCGTGCCTGCCAGTCACTCCCACACCAGCAGGCCCCAGTGGGTACAGCGTACCCCCCCTTCCCAAGTGACAGCACCATCGCGTCATCCCTCTGATGGCAGGGCTGCCTCTCAGTGGAGAGGAATTGCCTTCGGTGGGCATCTGCTCTTGCCCTTAGCTTGTAGCCTTTGTCCCTGCTCACCCTGGCTCCCGGCCTCCTGTCCTCTGCTTCATGTTGTGATGCTTGTTCTGAGATACTGTGAGAGCCTTGCTGTGCGAGCTCAGCACCTCCAGGCCTCCTGAAGGAACACAGACAACAGAGCCATGCGGCACAGAGGGTGGGGAGGCTGCTGCGGGAGTCCTCAGTCCCAAGAGCGACCCGTGCGTGCCCAGGTCCTCATCTGTGACAGGGTGGCCGCTCCCACAGTTCCCGAGGCCGGGTGAGCTGATGTGCACGGAGCAGCTCAGAGGCAGCAAGCCTTCCAGGCGACACTGCTTCAGCCTGTTCACCTCCCATGGTAACCAGAGGCCCCTTCTCTCCCAGTGAAAATGACATCAAGCAGCTCTGGCTGCAGCTGAAGAAGGACGAACCTCATCTGCTGTCCAACTTCGAAGAACTCCTGACCAGGATCTTCTCCCAGCTCCAGGAAGCCCACGAGGAGAAGAGTGAACTCGAATACGCCCTAAAAAAGTGGGTACCCTGTCTTCGCAGCTCTTTGTCCCTCTGTGAAACCAGACCCGGTTTCTCCTGTGTTTCCCTCGGAGCATCCCGGGATGCCTTCTTGTCGCTGTCTGCTGCCGCGGGGCAGGCCCTGTGGCTGTCACTGTGTACTCCCAAGCCCGGTCATGTGGACAGGGCACGTGCCGTGTGCTAGGTGCTGTTCTGAGTACTGTGCATGCGCAGCTCGCTTGAGTGTCACAGCTGGTCAAGGGTAGGGACCATCTACTACTGCCCATATTTTACAGATGAGGAAGTCTTGGTACAGAAGCACACAGCTTCTCCGTGGCAGAGCTAGCCATCAGAGCCCAGCGACTAGGACGTCTGGGCAGGAAGCCCTGGCATTCTGGGCCTCTTCCATCTCCAGATGAGCTCTCATTGTGCCCAGGGCCCTGATGCATCTGCCCCTCCCAGCTACCCTCTCCTGCTGTGATCTCACCCATGGCTTCCACAGCCTCTCCGGGAGGAGCTGCTACAGAAGCTGACCAGTGTCAGCACAGGCAGGTGTACCCCAAGATCAGGCCAAGCCCCACACACCCATCCCCTCTTGGAAACCACCATGTGGTCGTGCACTGCCCTGTCTCTCCTCCACTCAACATGCAGTACACAGCAAGGGATGACACTGGTGTTAGGAGGGGAGCCCCAACCCCAGGGCTGCATAGGGCAGAGTTTGGAGCCCACTGAGAGCCAGGATGTGCCAGCATGTCACTGCCATACACTGGTGCCCATCCTGGGGATTTGTGCATACAGTGGTAGCAAACCAATGGCAGGAGTGCCGAGGTGTGCTACTGCACCACAGAAAGTCAAGAGGTTCCCCAGCACTGCACCATAGGAAGCCCCAGGGAGTCCACACTGCACTCATGGACCACCTGACCCTCCAGCAAAACCTGCTCCCTCCCAGAGCCACACTGACATGTCTAAGTGGAGGCTGCCAGCCCCCTGGAAAAGGAAGAGGCCACCCCGTGCTTGCTGGGACATTCACATGCACTGTGCTGGGCCTGGGGTCCTTCTCATCCTGTTGCTCACCACAGCAACCCTAAAGATCACTTGTGGCAGGTAGATGCATGTCTGGGAGAAAGGAACCTGGGGGCTCCGCATTCTGGGGAAGTTGAGGCCGGTAGTGCTGGGGTCACACTGTGGCTGGAGGATGGTCAGAGCAGTCAGGAGGAGCCCCCAGAACCATAGGGGGAGATCGAGGGGAGCTCCCATGTGCAGTCTTAGCCAAGGGAGCACGGAGTCAGGCGGACCAAGTTCTGCCGCTTGAACCTTGGTTCTGTGCTTACTGGCTGACAGCTTGAGCCAAGCCACTTCAGCTCTCCGAGCCTCAGTTTCCTCGTCCACTCTGCCATCTCCCTCAGAATTCTGAGCAGTGTATGCGACCCTGAGTGATGCTGGGGGTGCTGCTCACACAGCGGGGTAGCGATTGCCTCAGCCATTGTCTCTGTCGGTTGGGGAGGTCTGTCTGAGTCTGGGCATAGAGGGGAGGTCTAAAGCTCCTTTTGTCTTTCCGACAGCGGGGGTGCAGAAGTCTGTGCAGGCTCGGCCTCCCCGGCCCCCAGGTGAGACACGGATGACACTTGGGGAGCTCTGCCTTTACCACAGCCAGACACACAGTGTGACTGGGAGTCTGGAGCCACAGGCAGGGAGTGGCCCGCTCAAGTCTCGGCCTCTCTGAGCCTTGGCTTCCATCTCTGTGGGGAGAAGCTGGCTTATCGCTGACCCCTCACGGAGTCCTGGGGCAGTCACAGCAGAGCCGGTGGCCCCGCTCAGGGGAAGGAGCCTCTAGGGAGGGGACCGGGGGTGGCCGGAACACTACCAGCCCATACAGCATGCGCTGTCTTACCAGGACAGGGGCCCTGCAGAGCCCCTCGGCTGACGTCGCCTGATAGCGGCAGAAGTGCTTTGCCCTTTCAGAGTTCTTGTGATGAAAGTCAAGGAGTGTGCAGTCTCAGCCCTACGCAGCCCCATAGCTGCACCTTGCTGCACCATCCAGGTTCTGTGTGAAGACGGGAAAAGCAGAGGCTGGGAGGCTGGATCAGAGGTTGAGGGGATCAGATTTGGGTCTGAATCCTGGGTGCAGTGTTGACTGAGGTGTGTCTCATAGGACACTGCCACAGCCCCATGGTGCAGGGTGGAGGACAGAGTCAGATGCAAGAATCTGGGGTTAAAGCAGGGCCCATGCTGACCTTCAGGGTGAGATCTGTTCCTTCTGTGCCTTAGCTTCTGTCTTCAGGTGTGGGAATTCAACTGCAGCTGAGCCACACTCACCTGTTTTCTCTATGCAGAAATTCAGAGCTCTGTCCCTCTTAGCATGAGGGCTTAGATGATAGTTAGAACTTCCAGCTACCAGTTTCTTTGCCATGGAAAGCATTCTCTGCATTTACCTTTTGGGGGAGAAAAAAAAAGCTTTAAATCTGCAGGGGACATAGAAAGATGCTGTCTGGAGCAGCAGCACATTCAGACCTCTGGACAGATTTGTTCAGGGACTCTGGTCTCCCACCCTAGGGGGCCCAACTTCCTTAGTCCTGGGTGGAGTTTGAAGTCTGCCCTTTTAAAGTATCAGGACAAAGATAAATCACCTTGTGTCTGGGGAGAGCTCTGAGCTCCCCAGACATAAAGCACTTCCAGGACCAGATGTCAGTCAGGCTGAGCTCCCCTTCTGCAGCTCGCAGCCCCAGATCGCTGCTGTTGCAGGACCGCACTGCACAAACCCCGGACCCTCCCTGGAGCCAGTCTTGCCCTGTCCATCTGAATCAGGCCACAGGAGGCTTCATGGGAACTCGGGGCCACCTCACTTGTCCCTCCTCAGGTGGCCTGCAGACCCTTTCCATCTAGTGTGGTTTCCCTGGGCTCTGGGAGGTGACCAGACCGGGAAGGACCAGAGCAGACAGGCAGCCCAGCTGTACAGTGGGAGCCCACTTCTGTGGCTGGAGTTCTGTGGCTGGCACAACTGGGAGAGCAATCGGCGACAGGGGAGATGTCACATTCTCGGCCTTGCCTGTGCAGAGAGCAGCATCACTGTGTCACAAGTGGCCCTTACATCCCCTGGGCTTCAAAGACCTTGTGAGAGCCCGCGGCTTCGGGATGCAGTCTGCAGACTTTGAAAGCCAAAGCAGCGTCCTGGACCTGGCCTCACTGGCCCAGATGGGAGAAGCCAGAGTGGTCATCCAGGCACAAACCCAGGTGTTTCTGACACAGGCAGCTGCTTGGATAGTGCTGCCCTCGCCTGTTCTCCCACCAGCTACCAGCCTGCAAAAGGCGTCCCAGGGAGCCTTCCGGCCCGTGCCCGCCTTTGCTCCCAGGGTGAGCGTGAGTTCTCGGTGAACACTGGGTGAGCACGGGCTTAATCAGTTGTGTGTGACTTAAGGGTGAATCATCATGCGAGGCAGAACAGCGACGTTATCATTGCCTTGTGAGCAAATGGAAAGGCGAGGGCTGCGCGTGCTCCGTGCACACCGTGGTCTGATTTGTAAACCTGACTAATGAATAATGCTTTGCTTTATGGTGGGAGAAAACTGCAAAGTTGATTTTACACAAAGCAGCAGAGTCTAATTAGGAAGAAACCATCCATCTTGAAAATCCAATTGGTGATTTTACAACCTTTGCAGAATTTTCTACAAACCCTTGCATTCTCCTTTCATTCATCCACACCCCTATCGCGTGTGCACGATGTGTGGGAGAGACAGATGCAGAGGGACCAGGGCAAGTAGCCAGGGGCTTGCTGAGGTAGGGAGAGGCTGAGTTTAGGGAAAGAAAACCCTGCCCAGGACGTTTCCATTCTCAAAGACTGCATTTGCCCAAGGAGGACGGCAGGGGGCAGTGCGGAGCCGAATCCCGACGTGCTGCTCTCAGCCCCAGCTCAAAGCTGCTCCTCCTTTCCTCCTGAGCGCTGGATCTGGGGCCTTCACGCTGTGGTCAGGGAGCACGAGAAGGGCACTGCGCGTCCTTGGCCGCCCGTGCAGTTCGTGCTGGACGGTGTGGAATCGAAACCACGACAGTCTGAGTGACAAGTGCGGCCTCAGCCTCCCCTTCGGGCACCTGGGGAAGATGCTGCGCAATGCGGCTGGGACCAGAGCCAGCCAAGGCCTGCGTGCTCCTCCCCTCCCTAGCCCTTGGTAATTTGCTGCTCTGCCGTGTACCCTCGTTTTCTTCACATGCGAACGAAGGGGTCGGGGATGCACGCTTTGGGTGCCTGCTTGCGATACGTGAGGCTGTGTTCACCCTGGGGTTCGTGTGTGGGCACAGCACATCCTCATCGTTTTCACTTCCTCCCCTCTGCCCTTGTCCCAGCCCCTTTCCCGTCCTCACCAAGTCTTCCTTCCTGTTTCCTGTGGTCTCCCGTTTTGCTCTTTATTGATATTTTGGCTTTGCCCACATAAGAGAAACAATGGGACGTTTAAGCCTCTAGTCTGCACACTTTCTAAGCTCAGGGCTGCTCCCCCTGCCTCTGCACTTGCCTTTTCCGCTCTCTGCAGACCAGGACACGTGGATCTGACCACTTTCGTCCACAAAGGAACACACGACATCACAGTGAAGAATTCAAGGCCGGCAGCCACGTCTGCAGCCCAGAGAAATGCCAGTCCCTGTGTCCAAGGCCAGGGCTATCTCTTGACAGAAAGGACAAAGTTTTTTTTTTCTTGGGAGCATTTCAACACAATCCTACCTAGAATCCACGAGGTGAACTAGATGATTTGCTGAGCCCTTCTGACCCCGCCCCCAGCCTTTTCTCCATAATTGGAGGCACAGGAGAGAGGGAGTTGGCACTATTTCTTGTGAGCAGTGTTCTGGAAGGAAGGCCTTGGCCTCGATGCTATCAGCCAGAGCCCCACAGCAGAATGCTTTTACTCTGGTGTAGCTGGCACCACGGCTGTCGGTGTGCAGAGCACTTTGTGAAGGTCCCTGTGGGAAGCTGGCAGGCTAAGTTACTGCTCACACCATCTCCCCTCCTGGTGTCCTGCCAGTGATCTGTGAAG